TCGCAGAGGTAGTCATGGTTGTTTCGAGAGACGATTATAGCACAATAATTTTTACAAATGTAAATGTTGGTGAAAGTGCAATTTCAAAGATAATTTTTTGTCAGCTCGCGCCATAACAGCGCGAAAGAGCGTATTTTTCAAAGGGACGCGAAGTGGGGCGAACAAACTTCTCTGCACGATTGACAGTAGCGCGAAAGTTTTGAATTTTGAATGTTAATGCTCGTAGGATAGTACTGTACCACGAGGGTTTTTTAAATTTTGATCGTTAAATAAGTCGCAGTGTGAGTGGTATTTTGGTTTGGGTGACAAAGGCACGAAATACTTGCTTATAGCGACATAAGCGCGAAAGAGTGCGAAAGTGCGAAATAGTGCGAAATATAGCTCGAAAGTGCCCGAGTTGTGAGTCTCTAATATGTCGTGGAGTTTAACCCCTCCCCTCTGTGCCCTCACAAATTTTCCCTCCGTAACCCGTTAAGTAAGAAGTTGTTGTCCACAAAAGCTTCCTTGCCCCTCCACTAAGGTAGATTATATTTGTCACTTAAGCCATTTCCGATGATTTCAAATTTCGCGCTGAGGTATTCGGCATAGAGTCGAAACTTCAAGCTTGATCCCCTCAAACAAAGAAAATGACCATAAAAGGCGCGTGCCCTATTGTTTGACCGGAATCTAACCCTTAGTTTGTATGTGGCATCGGCTACTTACTTGATGTCCGCGGCACCTTCTTCGGATTCGGTCATCTCTACAGTTCCAGCACACGAACAAGAACCTCTATTTTAAGTCTTTACAAATCTCTCTTTGGCGGCCACCTGTCCCCAATGTTATTGAACAACCACAGTGGTGCGTTTTAAAAAACCAAAATGTTAGAACAGCAGAGCAATATCAAATGACCTTCATATCATTCACACTCGTTTTGCTGTCCTAGATATAGATGAGTGTAACGATGGAACACACGAGTGTAATATGAATGCTGAATGCTACAATATCCTTGGATCTTACAAATGCACTTGTAAAGATGGACTACATGGAAATGGCGTAGCCGCTACTCAGAGTAAGTACTTGTTACTCTTGTAATCTTTAGACGTTTTTTGTTTGTTTCTGATTTTACATTTTAATATCGAAAGTTTTGGTTTAGGCCGTGAGGAACCAATTAACTCACATTTCTGATACGTTCTTAACTAGATAGTCAAGAAAAAAATCGTCTTTTCATCTTTAACTGAGCTCCCAAGATTATTTAGTATGTAGATTCTCTTAAAATTTTAACGGACTGTTAAGTAGAAAGATAAAGAGGATGCATTTACAGTAATTTCAAAACGGTCCAATCCTCAAAATTCTCCTCAAACTTTAGGCCTGTTACTGCGAAAAGATACAGCTTTTTTCATCTCGGTGGCGACCGACCTGAAATTTCGGCAGAATCAAGAGCAGAAGTAAAGGAGCGGGCCAGGCAGGCTGCGAGACTCCGGGACTGTTGGGGGACTAAGTTTGATACCGGGAAAAGAGAAGAAAGAAACTCGTGGCAGAGAGGGAGAAGTGCTTTTCTCTTAAACTTCTATTAATTCAGGCCATCATTTTGCATTGAGGGAGACACCATAGGCATATGTTTATTGATCCATTCTGTAAAAGATAATGATTTACGGTCTGTGTCATCTATCAACGTCAATAATCGTTCCTTCTTCCTTTTTTTATAGCATTTTTTAATGGCATTCTTGTCTACCTTGCAATCTGTTGATCATTCTTCATTTCATTTCTGTCTTTGAAAATTTCACGAGTCTTTCTATCGCGGATGGTAGGAAAATTCTTACTGCCATTAAAACTGGTATTCCTAAGTATTTTATTCCTCTGCTTCACAAGGTCACCCTTGCCAACAGGGCGCTTTCTTGACATTTCCTGTCCTCTAGCCATCTCGAAAAAAGCGTCCCGTGGGCCAAGAATTGTGCATTTTGATTGATTGATTGATTCTTTCACCGCCTCTGGCTCCTACTGATTTGATCTTTCATTGAATCTTAAGCGACGTAACAAACAAGTATTCTTGCTTGTTAGAGGAATTCACAGCTAATTTTTCCTCTTTATCTTATTCTGCTGAATTTACAGGAATCTTTTTCCTAAGCGGTAGCGAGCAACATAAGCAGTTCCCAAAACATTTTGGCAAATTCTTACTAGCATCATAACTTTTACTTTTATTTTGTGTTTACTGCGCAGGATTTACAGCAGTGTTTACAAATCTTGGTAAGGTTGGAAGGAAAGGTCCAGAGTCAATTAATGGTCACTACACAGGTCAGGATCACGACCGACAAGTTACAATGTCCAACGGTATTCAACAGTGGACTGTGCTACACACTGGTGTATACAGAATAGAAGCAATAGGAGCCTCAGGGGGGTACGGTAACGACATTGTCATCAAGAACGGAGGTAGAGGGGCACGGATGATTGGAAACTTTCATTTGACCAACGGTGAGATCATTCGTGTACTTGTTGGTCAAAAAGGGAAGAGAGGAGATCAATATGCCCAAAAACAAACTGCTGGAGGCGGAGGAGGTACTTTTGTAGTGAAAGAAAACAACACGCCTTTGATTATAGCTGGAGGTGGAGGGGGAATTAGAAAAATGTCGGAACAACATTTGGGATGCGATGCGTCTATAAGCACCACAGGGGATGCAGGGAACAACTTGCCATTGGGGTCTGGGGCAAACAATGGACATGGACATACCAATGATAGAAAGGATTATGGTAGGTGGAGAATTTGAGTTTTACAAATACTGAGATTTTCGTTTCATCCTACTGCCATTCTTCAGAATCGTCAATCAAATGACAAAGTGAGTCTTTAATAATCAGATTTTGAAGGAATTCTGAAAACAATAATTATCAAAACTATTAGTGTTAATTTTGAAGTTTTTCCAAAACTATTAGTGTTAATTTTGAAGTTTTTCCAAAACTATTAGCTTTAATTTTGAAGTTTTTGAGGAAACGCCTTATACAAGACTTAAATTCTGTCAAATTTGGGTCTCTCCTTTTTTAATTTCTCACATATTTATACAATTCTCGACGTCGATCCGTAAATATACGGCAGGAGGTGACATCGAAACAGATGACAAGAACTCTTATTCGCTGATTTCGAACCTGGATTAAATAGAAACACTTAACAGAGAGTCGAAGCTAACCCTAAAGCTGACTTGTCCTCACAAGCTTTTTTATTAACAATATCCATGGGATAATTTAAGCCTAGTTGCGAAACACTCCAAAATCATTGTTTGATCGCAAGAAATGAAATATATAGGTGCTAATTGTAAGAAAACCACTGAGCACTTTTTGATTGTAATGTAGGTGGTGGTGGCGGCGGTTTCTACACAGATGGACAAGATTCAACGTGTAAAACGCAGTATTGTGGGGGGAGGGGAGGTTCAGGATATCTTCAGGGGGGAGAAGGTGGAGAGTATGGGGGTGGGTTCGGAGGTGGCGGTGGTTTTCGTTCAGGAAACAAGGGACCGGGCGGAGGTGGAGGTTATTCTGGGGGAAGTAGCGGGGCTAATGAACATATTTCCTGTGGGGGAGGGGGAGGATCCTTTAATAATGGAACAAATCAGTGTAATGAATGTTGCTATAATAGCGCCGGTCATGGTTGGGTAAACATCACATTTCTCCAATGAAGGGCACATGGCCAAACTTTTGTGAGCGTTTAGTGGCAAACTACTTTCGCTTAAACGTTACCTTACTGCAAATACAGTTTCCAATTGGTCAATAAATAAACAGGTAAAAAATAAGCACTTGTTGGATTCAGTCACCGTCTCAGCAATCAGAATGAATCAATTCGGATCTGATTCATTTTCCATTATGCAAGGTACTAGCACGTTTATATGTGCCATATAAAAAAAAATTATGATGGCACGTTCAAGTTTACTTTATTTAGATTGTCATTTTTTTGTCATTGTCCAGAACAGCTTTTCAGGTGGCTCCTTTGCTCTTTCACTAAAGTGGAAGAGAATGCTGTACTTGAGGTAAAGAAAAGAAGTTTGTCCCTGATAACGACTAGATATTAAATATCTTGAAAATTTTACTTGCACAAAAAACCTTGGGTCCAGTTGTTTGAAGGCCGATTAGCACTAAACCAGGGTTGAAACCAGGGTTAAATTTTGAGTCAGATCTCCTTATTTCTCTATTCAAGAACCTTTCTGAGATAATTTTCCCAATTCTTTTTAGAGCATCCAATCATCAAATTGTAGACACAAAATAATTGAACTTAACTTTCTCTTAGAGCTTTCAGATCTGAAATCAAATTTCAAGCTAATCCTAGGTTATCTTAACTGACCCTGCTTTGAACAACCCCGCCCTGGTAAAAAGTAATGTGGGAGTTACAGAAAGGATCTCTCAGTTTTAGTGTTGACCAAACAGTATTTACACATAACTTAAGTCACTATGGTAACATGTTGATAACTACAGCTGATTTACAACAATTAAGTGATTTTTTTGCTGTTGAAAATTGTTTTGTTATTTTTAGGGCTCTGGTTATAGCAGGAGGTTTGTGTCTGAAAAAAATAGAAAAATGGGTGTTGAGACTTGGGTGGTCGGTTCCCACGAAATTCCTTTGCAATTAGTAACTTTCAAAAAGGCACAACAGCTACTGTGGCTGGAAGATAATTTACCTCCAATCTCCTTTGCAGCCATTCTCTGCACGTAGAAGATTGGGTTACCTATACCTCTTCCATGACTCTAAAATTTCTTTACAATAAATAATTATCAAGAGGGCACAACAGCTAGCAAGAAGATAAGTCACCTCCAGTCTCCTTCACAGCCATTCTGGATGTAGGAGACTGGGTTAGCCATAACTCTGCCATAACTCTGAAATTCCTTTGCAATTAGTCATTTTCAAAAGAGCACAACAGCTGGCAAAAAGATGGGGAAGGGGTTTATTGGTCTTGCAGTGTACAGTATATCCTAATGCTTATGTTAATTGATTTATATAACCCTGCCACAAGGGAATGTTCAAACACTAATCATTACATCATAAATTATGCTCTACGTTTTTATTTGTTCAAGAATTAATACATGGGGCATTTGCCCTACCATTGTAGAGTTAAAAAACTCATTCTCTGAGGTACATTATGTTGAATGATGAGAACTTAACATAATGACTGACAAAATTATCTTAGCATTTTTTAAATTATCTTAAATCTAAACACAGTACAAATGAAATAAATAGTCTGTTTTTAGATAGTGTTTATTTCACCCATAATATTCACAGGCCTGTTCTTGTATTTCTTGGAGATTTCTTGGGAAATCTGAGAGAGGAAAATGGACAACAATGAAGAAATGTGGCAAAGGGGGTGCACCAAACACGACAGTGAAGCTAGCGTTTCCTGTCTCATGTAGCAGAGTTTTTTACTGAAGTTTTTTCTGTTCAAGTTAAGCAACGTTAGAGTTTCTTTCCGCCTTTAAGACAGGATCAGATGTAAGCTGCAGTCTATTATATTTCATTTCGTTTTCCTTTCAATTTCGATTCTTTTGTAATTACCGGTAGTCTTTTCCTATCTTGTAAATTGTAATTTTCCCCTTTTAGTTTTCACCGCACGTGTACAATATTCAAATAAGTCCATGATCAGATTAAATGCTGTTGAATCAACTTGTGTTGTTTATTTTTGCACTGTGGTTGGCACTTTCCGAACTCCAGTGCACCAAGCCCCATGTCCGCTGCACTGTGCATGCGACACCAAAAGTAGCTCATGATGCCTTTTGTCCAACAATTTTTTTAGTTTAAAACCCGGCAAAGTTAAATTCAAACAACAAAGAGTCCAAAAAAAGCTATAAATTTAAAAAAATGACAATTCCTATGCTAGCGCATAGTCATTCGCATAGCAGAAGATTCCAGCTAACACATGAAACATCAAATTTTCAAAATTCCTTACGGCTTTTTGTTTCCAAATTAATAGCAAATTTTGCGTTTCACTTGCACATCAACAAAACACAACAGTTTCTACAAAAATTGATATCTTAGCTGTCTTACCTGTCCTTGTAGTTCTTTTGTTTTTGTTCTGATAATTTCAAGTTTGGGTTCCAAGTCTCTTTGGTCTATGATGGCTGCCTGTCGTTTGTCAGCCATTACTTTAATGGATGTTGCTA